CACAATGCCCGATAATATCGACTGGGATATACTTCTTTAACTCATCCACGTATTGCATTCTGTTGCTCGAACCTCCACAATTACTTACGAACCACAATACCTTCTTTGTCTTCAGTCTCATGACTTGATTCCAATTAATCGTCCTCAACTTCTGTCGTCTTCTCAGATATCCGTAGGTCGCATGGAAATCAGATTTTCTCTCATATGTATAGGTCCAGTTGAAAACGCTGTTCCAGTTCTCACCTGGAAACTGATTGCGGTAGTTTGACCATGGTTCCTGAGTAAAGAATACCCACATCTGGTCCGGATGAATTCGCAATGGCGTCTCCTTGATGGAGGTCCTCGTCACAACCCAAGCATGAAATACAACAGCGTCTGCTTCGTGTAGATATGACGTGTTTGTGGAGAATATACACGTGTAACGCCCACACTTTACGTTTTGTGCATTGTATTGTTTCCAATGGACTTTAGTTTTATACCAGACAATCAGTTTGTCTGTATGACCATTACGACTGTTCGAAGTGACGGGAGACTTTATGTCTCGTTGAACTGTCTTGATATCAAGTCCATATAGTGGCTGGTTTGACAGTTTATGGTCCATTGTTTCATCGAACCCTTCTGTATTCTTATCATTGAATAAATATTTTTGGAAGAGGTAATATGTGAGTACATAAGATGCTTGCATGATGATGAATCCACCCAAAAGCATGGAATATCTGAAAAGAAAAAAACAAAAAATATTTTTATCCATCAACTTCAGTTATAGCAAATCATGAAAAGTTTCATTATGTTATAAATTAAGTGCATTGGATTTGTGTTCAACTGTTTATATGTATTGCAATAAACAAACATCAGCATGAGTTAGAATAGGTGAGGTTCCGAATTCACTCAAAGTGGCGTTAAACTTAAACAACCACTCAAAATGCACGTCTCAAATATACACAAAGAGGTGAGGTGAAATTGGATTGACGTCGCGTCCAAGATTATTGCACTTATATAGCGACGTGCATGTACGTGTGTGTTTGGGTTTGTGTGGCTGCTTGTACTAGTCCGGACTGATGCCGATTTATAGTGCTAGCTCACTGAAATACTATGCCGCAGTTTAACATGAATACCCCACTCTGACACAGTATACTGACTCCGATCCGACCAGTCCTTGTTTTAGCCCCTTAAAGCCGAGCGCAAGACAGGGTAAAAACAAGTACCATCTTTTAACGTCTTTTGGTATGAAGCGGCCGGGGATCGAACCCCGGACCTTCCGCTCTCCGGGCGGAAACTCTGACACTAGACCCCGGAGGCGGTCCATATACTATAAGAGAACATTGAGGCAGTGCAGCAAAGTCACGCGACTAAAGGTGAGGTGTAGAGAAGTTTTCTCAGGCATATCAAATTGGCCAGGTCTGAGGCAAGAGGAAAACCTGAAAAACCAGTGTGGTTTCATGATGCAGGGAATCCAAATATATCATTTTAAGAACACGATCATCTAAATAAGTAATAATAATTCTTATATAAAAACAATGCTTGATACAATTGAAATATTTCGTAAACGCGGATAACTGTTAATATGATATGACTTGAAATTTGTTTTATGATACTTTGTGGTTGGAATAGTTCACAAAACACAATTGTCCTGAATTAAGTTTGAATACAACTAACAACAAAAAGGCGACATAAGGCACAGCATAGCCATAGTTTTTTCATACTAAGCTACATGGACTTATATTTTTAATCAGCTTGACTTTGATTTACCAAAGCTACACATTCGTGGAATGCCAAATAAATTGTACGCAATTATGATTATGATGTGAGTATCTTAATTTGTACTACTAATAACAATACATTTCCTTTCGATATATGCGGAAATAACTGAAAAGAAATTATTGAAGATATCAAAAATAAGAATTTTAGGACTGATTTTGGTAATACATAAATAATGAATCAATGAATAAGGCCTGAATAGTGAACATGCCGATCCTTAATTATGTGGATAAATACAGGACATTACTGTGACAGCCGCATCACCAAATAACATTGTATTACATATTTAAAAACAGCTGTTTATTACACTCGGGAAAATTTTTTTTCCCTTATTCTCTGGTCTTGGTGTGTTTCCCTTATACTTGGTCTAGCCTGCGAATGCAGTGAATTAATCGGATGAAGATATATTCTGTTCTGTGATTTCGAACTGTAATAACGCATTATCAACTTTTCCTTGAAGGACAAGAAAACGGTTTCAGCAGTAACCCGAATGGATATGATAATCGAGGACGTGCGTGCACAAGAGCGGACAACCCTGTATGTGTAGTTAAATAGTAAATCTTAAACTATGAGGGTTGACTGATAAATTCTTAGCCTCACACAGAAGGATTTGCGTCGAAGTGAAATCATTTGCTGTGAACATTACATGACGAATGGGAAAAAGTAACTGTACCTAAAGTATTTTAAGTTCAGTAAACATATATCTGTTGTGAAATTAAATAATGCATCTTTAAATACATATTCATGAAGACATCTCCACGATTAAACAATTTTATTTTAAAAGCCATATAAAGACAGCCTATTTTATACAAAGCATGAAGATGAAATATGTGATTATTGTATGTTCTTATACAAACCGTTTTCCACGAACCATGGCCACACCAGAAGGTATTCGCTGTCGGTATGAATGCAACCGAACAACTACATTTAAACGTATTAAGCGAGCCAGACTAGGTGTGGTCAGGTCAATCTGTATGGATTTAATAATTAATATCTGTCAAGCAGGTATGTGTTAATCGATCAGAATGAAATAAAACGTATTTTCCCCTGAGTGAAATATCGATATTTATGTTTTCAGATAAATAGAATACATTGTATTTCATTTCTAAGTGCTTAATATATAAATAATCTCAATGTCTCGTGAACTTTCTATGGTATCTAACCTCGCTTTCGCTCGACCAGATACCACAGAAAGTCCACTCGTTTCGTAAAAATGGTATCTAACGAGAATGAGTGTAGTATTCTCTATTGATAGTTCTGGTACAGAAATTCGTCATTCGACACTGTTTTGTGTTTTAATATAATAAAACTATTAATTGTGATGTGCAAAGAAATTAATTTTTTAAGAAACCACGTTCGTGACTTTATTAATAAAAAAATACAGAGTAAAAAGCTTACAACTGAGGTAACAGATTTACAAATAGCAACGTCATAGAACACGATATAGGATGACGTCAGAAGCAAAAAACGTGACGCCAATGACGTCACATTGCAAGATAATATAAGGTCTCCTTCGTCGGGCAGTTAATGGAAGACCTCGGGCTTCTACAAACGATAATGCCCTGAAAAAAAGCGTTTCCGTTATTATAGATAAAATGGATGGAACTTTTTATCAACTAAAAAGAAACAACACTATCGGGTTTGAAACATTTACTGCAATCAACACGAATGTCACTGACCCACTTTTACAAATATGGAAACGTCATAGAACAAACCAGATGACGTCACCTAACAACGGGCGTGATAATGGCCCGTCGTCAAGCAAAATGAGGGCATTATCAAGTTACAGTGGCCCGCTCATTTCTGATAACATGCGGGCGGTTTAATGATAATTCTATCCATTTTAGCTATAATAGATAGCAGCCCGTCGTAAGGGGAAAGCGGACTGCTATCAAGTTACAGTGGACCGCAGATTTCAGATAACATGCGGGGATTTTTAGGATAATGCTATCCATTTTAGCTATAATATATTAAATGTTCACATTTAGTGCATTATATATAGAGAATCTCACCCGAGTTGATAAAAGTGGGAAAACTCCGAGGCTCGCCGAGGATTTTTTCCACTTTTATCAACGAGTGTTGATATATTTGATATCAAAAGACACGAGGGTGAGATTTTATTTATCATCCAACATCATTCTTCCAATTTTTTCAGTTTGTAGACAGTAATAAGCAGTGTCTTAAGTGTAAAAAGTACTGCTTACAGCTTCAGTAGCAGAGCCATTAGTGATGTCATTTGATTGTGACGTCATGGTAACCAATGTCGTCACAATGGTCTGCAAAGCATTGTGATGCAATTTCATTGCAGCGATATCTACAGTGTAGATATCGCTTGATCTCACCCAAGCGATATCTCCTGTGGGAGCCAGTTTTGGACGATAAATAGAGGATATTTAATGTGTTTTCTCAAATACCACTTTTATCTCATCGAGTGAAGTGGGGAGAGTCTAATATTTTCACGAGTGACGCAGTCACGAGTGAAAATATTAGACTCTCCCCACTTCACGAGATGAGATAAAAGTGGTATTTGAGAAAACACATTGAATTTTGTATTTATAATATACATGTTTTATTTTTATTACTTGCAATTTATATATTTTTTCGAAAACAGTGAATGAAATATAGTTCGTGAATACAACTAGCCCTGTTAATATATGTTATGTGAAATATATCATTTCATATCGAGTATTAAGTTCCGTGGACATTTTTGTTTGTCATAATTAAACATTCCTGTTTAAATTGAAAACAGAAATCATTTTTAAATAGCGATTATTTCATTGGCGTAGGAATACATAAACAGTTAGAACTGTGACCATGTCGAACGATCAGCTGAGCTCTCTCCAGGCTTACAAAATCCGCCAAATTTGATCAAATGTTCTCACAGATAAGTATGAAAGTTGACATAAACACAGTTATAGAACCCCGAACATTTTAACTGAAACATTGTTGCTTGCTGTCATGAATTAAATTAGGAAAGTTCAATTCTCGGAAAATTCAAGCGGGTGCTTGCTACAGGCCGGCAAAGCCACATTTCGAAAATAGATAGCCCAAATTGATGTGGCTCTCGCGGCAATGGTTATGGTTGCGTGATTGTATAATGTGGCTCTCGCGGCTATGCTGTCAAAACATTCTTTGTGATTCTAACAGGTTACCGTATATAACAAAACAAGTCTTGTTTTCTCATTTTTTTATTCAACAAGGATAACATATTCATCAACACTTTACATTGATGAATATGAATATCATAATGGATTTAATGTCATTACTGCAGATGAAAGAAGGTCGCCCACGTGGTCAGCATATTCCATCTCACTCAGGTGTTTTTTCGGGAGTTGGATCTTGAGGGACGCAATACGTGCATCGATTGCCTTGTACTTCTTTCTTCGTGAAGGTTCTGACCACTGGTGAGAGAGTCTCAGGACTGCAACCTCTTTGAGTGACTGCTCTCGCTGAAATAGCTTCACTACCTCGTAGATGTTCGGGTGGCACTTCTTGGCAAGTTTCTTTATCTTGGTGTGCCACCCTTCCAGGTGATTGTTGGTACGGTGGCATTGGTTTTCGAAATGGTTCCAAATCTCTGGCATGAAGGCCCCTCCTTGAACCCAACTGAAGGCAGTCACTTTAGGGCCAGCAGGAGAGTCAGCAATGGCATCAAGCCACACATCATCCACTTTGTTACGAGGTACTAGAGGGAGGGCAGCAGCTCTTCTCATCAGCTTCTTCGCCTCCTCATCTTCCTTATAGACCATCCCCAGACAATCTTTCTGCATTCTCCCCCAGATACATTGGGTGAAGTGAAAGAAACACCCTCTAACTAATGTCCCAGGAAATACATCAGTCACGGCATTGTGAGCTGCACGTTCAAAGTCCAACTTAATTGTAAGTGGAGCAAACTCTAGACATCCTCTACTAGCAAAATCGCATAGGTACTGAAACATGTTGACATAACACTCTTTTGTTCGATTTGACAACAAACAATAAACTAATGGAAACATATGGCCAAACACCTCAGCATGTAAACAATAAATCTGATCAAACAACTTGGGACAGGCATAAAATGTACCATCACAAAATACAATGTCTGCAGTACACAAATGTTCAATGTTCTTGTCTGTAGTGAAGATTTAAATGTGGGACACTCATATAAAGGTATCGGTAATCGGATTAATTAATTACCCGCTAGAATAGGTGAAATGCACTCAGCTGAAAATGTGGCTCTACCGGCAATAGCCATTTCTGAAATGTGGCTCTCCCGGCTAGACACCCTTCTCGCCTCGGCGGTATGTCTCGCTGTCGCCAGTTGTGCCTAATGTCTGGCGAAGGATGTCCGGCGCAAGAGTGATATTAACATTGCCATAGATGTTATTTCCAGACATCAGACTCGTCATAGAGTTCCTGTGGTCTGTTGAAGAGAAGTTATGCACCTGCGGTTGAGACAGTTAAAGGTTGACCTTTTTTTTAAAAAGGTACTTATTTTGTGTCCTATTTTAAGTGATAAGCACAATCTCATGAAAAAATTTGCACGCATACTTTGTCCACACTGGTATAGATTATAGATTATGTTAGATTATATGTGCACATCTGGTACACGCCTTATAAAACCAAAGTATTAAGCAGGATGATTAGTTTGACAAAAAATATAAAATGACTATCTAGAAACGTAAAATGTATGGATCCAGGATCTGTAGGTTTACATATCAATATCAATATTTCAGAGAGGCCTATTTCAAAGTGGAACAGTTAGGTAGATGGTACTATTAAGACTGAAGTATAATCATGGCTTTTGATGTTGGAAATTATTAAATGATATTGCAGTATGTTGGAGAATATGGAATGGTATTGTAGTATGATGGAGGATATTGAATGGTATTGCAGTATTATGGAGAATATGGAAGGAATTTGTAGTAGTGTGTAGTATGTTGGAGAATGTGGAATGGTATTGCAGTATGATGGAGAATATGGAAGAATATTGTAGTAGCGTGTAGTATGTTGGAGAATGTGGAATGGTATTGAGTATGATGGAGAATATGGAAGAATATTGTAGTAGCGTGTAGTATAAAGGAGAATATGGAATGGTATTGCAGTATGGTGGATAATATGGAAGGATATTGTAGTAGCGTGTAGTATGTTGGAGAATACGGAATGGTATTGCAGTATGATGGAGAATATGGAAGGATATTGTAGTAGCGTGTAGTATGTTGGAGAATGTGGAATTGTATTGTAGTATGATGGAGAATATGGAAGGATATTGTAGTAGCGTGTAGTATAATGGAGAATATGGGGTGAGTGAGTGAGTTGGGTTTAACGCCGCTTTTAACAGTATTCCAGTTATATCGCGGCGTTGGAGAACATGGAAGGATATTGTAGTGTGTTGGAGAACATGGAAGGATATTATAGTGTGTTTGACAATACGGAATGGTATTGTAGTGTGTTGGACAATACGGGATGGTATTGTAGTGTGTTGGACAATACGGGATGGTATTATAGTGTGTTGGACAATGCGGGATGGTATTATAGTGTGTTGGACAATACGGGATGGTATTATAGTGTGTTGGACAATACGGGATGGTATTGTAGTGTGTTGGACAATACGGGATGGTATTGCAGTGTGTTGGACAATACGGGATGGTATTATAGTGTGTTGGACAATACGGGATGGTATTGTAGTGTGTTGGACAATACGGGATGGTCTTGTAGTGTGTTGGACAATACGGGATGGTATTATAGTGTGTTTGACAATACGGGATGGTATTGTAGTGTGTTGGACAATACGGGATGGTATTGTAGTGTGTTCGACAATACGGGATGGTATTATAGTGTGTTGGACAATACGGGATGGTATTGTAGTGTGTTCGACAATACGGGATGGTATTGTAGTGTGTTGGACAATACGGGATGGTATTGTAGTGTGTTTGACAATACGGGATGGTATTATAGTGTGTTGGACAATACGGGATGGTATTGTAGTGTGTTGGACAATACAGGATGGTATTGTAGTGTGTTGGACAATACGGGATGGTATTGTAGTGTGTTGGACAATGCGGGATGGTATTTTAGTGTGTTGGACAATACGGGATGGTATTATAGTGTGTGCTGGACAATACGGGATGGTATTATAGTGTGTTGGAAAATACAGGATGGTATTGTAGTGTGTTGGAGAATGCGGGATGGTATTATAGTGTGTTGGACAATACGGGATGGTATTATAGTGTGTTGGACAATACGGGATGGTATTGTAGTGTGTTGGACAATACGGGATGGTATTATAGTGTGTTGGACAATACGGGATGGTATTGAAGTGTGTTGGACAATACGGGATGGTCTTGTAGTGTGTTGGACAAAACGGGAGGGTATTATAGTGTGTTTGACAATACGGGATGATATTGTAGTGTGTTGGACAATGCGGGATGATATTATAGTGTGTTGGACAATACGGGATGGTATTATAGTTTGTTGGACAATACGGAATGGTATTGTAGTGTGTTTGACAATACGGGATGGTATTGTAGTGTGTTGGACAATACGGGATGGTGTTATAGTGTGTTGGACAATACGGGATGGTATTATAGTGTGTTGGACAATACGGGATGGTATTGTAGTGTGTTGGACAATACTGGATGGTATTATAGTGTGTTGGACAATACGGGATGGTATTGTAGTGTGTTGGACAATACGGGATGGTATTGTAGTGTGTTGGACAATACGGGATGGTATTATAGTGTGTTGGACAATACGGGATGGTTTTGTAGTGTGTTGGACAATACGGGATGGTATTGTAGTGTGTTGGACAATACGGGATGGTATTGTAGTGTGTTGGACAATACGGGATGGTCTGGTAGTGTGTTGGACAATACGGGATGGAATTGTAGTGTGTTGGACAATACGGGATGGTATTGTAGTGTGTTGGACAATACGGGATGGTATTGTAGTGTGTTGGATAATACGGGATGGAATTGTAGTGTGTTGGACAATGCGGGATGGTATTGTAGTGTGTTGGGCAATACGGGATGGTATTGCAGTATTTTAGCTTTCTATGGTTGATAATACAGAACGACTTTATTTGTTACATTCTTTGTTCCAAACATATCATATCTGCCAGATGTGCCACTAAGTTTTCAGGCTATTTCCATAGGGATGTTTACATAGACAGCGTTCCGTGTTAGAGAAAAGCTATATACTTTTCCAATAGAGCGACTCTTTTTAGGTCATTTTATACCTAAATAGTTAAGGAAGGAGATGGTAACATTTCATACCCGTATTTTAAACTATTTCGATGCGAAAAATGCGAGTCTCCCAAATGTGCCACTAAGTTCTCAGGCTATTTCCATAGGGACGTTTGCATAGACAACCCCATGCTTAAGAGGGAAACTATATAGTTTCCCAAATCCGTTTTGGGTTTTTAATCATTTTCACTTAATTAATAAAATGTTTGTATTTTGATGTGCTTAATTTACTTGTTTGTAACTACTTTTGTGGCTCTTTTTATGCTTTTCATTATCAACATATATGTGCCTTACATACCCCAGATATACAATCACTACAAGTCTTCAGCAAATCTACAAGAAGTAAAATGAAAAAGTAGCTACTTTGAATAGAAAACACCATATTCACATCTTAATGTCCAATCTCATTAAAATCAAATCTTAGTTCTTGCTTCCGCTAAACAAAGATCTGAGGACATCCCAATACAGGTCACGTCAGACCGACCTTGCGCGAACTTTGACCAATCAGAAGGGAGCTTTCTCGTGCTTTACGGCACTAATTTCAAAATTAGCGAATACGCTTCGAAACATATTTTGACAAATTCTCGATTACAAATTTGAAACCTGAACAAAAGATCATTCTGGAATGGCTAATAGATGGTATAGACTGTGTGGATTCTGTCGTTTTACTCGTAACTATCGTTCAGAATACCCCGTGTTAAAGTTTTCGAGGTTGCATGATTAGAAATCACATTCCGACTGTCACTTTCATAATCTGGTAAGCAAAGCTCTGATTAGTCGGATAAAAGGTCGTTCTGACGTGACCCCTAATGGGATGTCTTCAGATCATTGTTTAGCGGTAGCGAGAACTAAGGTCTGATTTTAATGAGATTGCTTAATGTCGGATTTCTGAATTGAACACGTATTTAGCTATATCATCGATTTGAAGGTATTACATTATAATCATTCTTTTCCTAATTGTGATATGAAGCTATATGATTGTATAAGACAAAATCAATGGTTTTATGTATATACATAACAACTGTAATTATTAACAATGTATTTATTAAATAAACCCTTATCAACAACTCATTTATAATATGGCTGCAGTATGATGTATGTCAGGACTATTGTTTTGTTTTGTGTTCTTAATTTGCAATAAGTCAGCAAATCTGGGAAGTAAACATCCCAGGGGTTGTCTAATCAAATCTCAAATGGCTTTTTCTTTTTAAAAAAGAAACACTCATGTCAAAAAGCAGATGAATATAATCTTAATTGTCAGTGAGTGCGTGAGTGAGGTTTTACGCCGCTTTTATCAATATTCCAGCAATATCACGGCGGGAGACACCAGAAACGGGCATTCGTGACCAATTCGTGTTATTCCGGGACAAGCCGAATAGCGACTCGTGCCCCTCTCATGGCCATTTTTGCGACCGGGTTCAGTCTTAGCGCAAACGGGCATACCTAAAATAATTGTCAACTCGTTGCGTAATGGTTCACATACATTTCCCCATATATTATATATGCAATTTAAAGCACATCTGGACATGCGGAATTATACAGTATGA